GTGGGGGGGGGGGGGGGGAAATGGGGCTAGCTGCGGTTCTGAAAGGACTATGGAACTGTATATCTAACATCAAGTAAGCATTTTACTCTTTGAAATTGAAACCTGTTTTGACTTTTTTCTTTCCTCCTTCTGCCGTCCTGTGCTAGTGACCAGTCTTACGTGATCAGTTTTGTGGTTCCTAACCAGAAGAAGCTGACAACATTAGCTGAGCAGAAAGGCATCAGTGGATCCTGGGTAGATATTTGTAACAATCCTATAATGGAAGCTGAAATACTGAGAGAGATTAAAGAAGTGGCAAACAAGAGTAAGTAAAATGGCATACAGTGCCAGCTAATTTCATGGTGATTATCCAGCAACAAGAATTTCAGTTATCATCACTTTCTTTTCCATGTTGCTTCTCTCTGCCACAATTTAATCAGAGGCAAAGAACATATCAGATTTACACCTATGATCCCACGAACTGACATCCTTTTTTAATTTCTAAAAATTCTGAGGTTGGTTTTTTTTTTTTTTTTAAACTGACTTCTAGAGCCAGGTTGCTTGTATAGTGCAGTTAAAGTAAGATCCAATGGGATTCTCCATTTGGAAGGAAAATTGCAAGGCACTTGCTGATAAGAAAACCAGTTAAACAGGAAGGATCAGAGCTTTTCTCCATGTAACTTTGTGTCCTACAGCTTTGAACAGCAAGGTACCTTATGTTTGTAACAGCTTAAACCCTGCTCTTTGCTGCAGTACTGAATGATCAAAAGCTTGCCTGATCAACCCTTTATGGGGCCAAAATCCTAACAAGCTAACTCAAGAGAAGAAAAAAAAAAAATCTCTAAAGCACTTGACACCTCATGTAATGAAGAGGTAAAATAGGACTTAAGTGCATGCTAAGCACTGTTGCCTCTCAAATTTTAGAGAGGCAAATCTGTCTTTTGAAACTGAGAAAAGAGGAATGAAGGGCAATTTTAGGTCTTGCCTTAAAACACAAAAAACAAGAAAACCTACACACACCCAACACTGCACGTCTCTGACTTTGGTTTGAACACTTTAATCCATGGTATTCTACCATAAACTAGGCAAATTATTATCCATCTAGCTTTTTTCCTCTAAAATCTTTGCTTATATAGTTTTTTGCCTTTTAAATAGTAACCTGTCATTTAGATATGACTAAGTTTAATTTCTTTGAAACTTGTTTATAAGTACTTTAAGCAGACTGTTCTGGGTTTTTAGCAAAACATTATGTTACTTGATCAGAAGCAGGCATATATCTAAATAAGGTGACACAGTAAGTTGCAGTACCAGGCTGAAGTTAGACAGAGGAGTTCCCAGGGCACACTTGCAGCAAGAGAGCCCAGCTCTCTGGCACTTGCTGCCACCTAGAGGTTATGCTGCAACAAATTGTCCTGGAAGTGCAGGTCCAAGCGTGGATGTGGGTCCCACTACAGCCCTGTACGGGAGAGTTTAGAGGGCTTCTTGTGCCCGTCCATCACATATTGCACACATGCAGCAGCTCATGCCCCTATCCATGATGTGCCTCCCCTGCTTCCCAAAGCACTTACCCACCTCCTGTCCCGCTCACCCTATTGCCTCAGCAGGAGCTAGGAGCAGCTTTAGTTGTAACAGGGCAATACAGGTGCCAAGCCACTGCTTCCAGCTGAAGGGAGAATTGACTGACAGATATAACAAAAATACGGGGAAGCCCCTTCACTTTGAACTCTAAACAAATTCCTAGGAAAGAAAAATATGAGAAAGAATCTCTCAAGCACGTACTAAGTGTCTTATTCCCAAAAATGAAAGTACTTGCTTATAATTTAAATAAAAAACACATCCAGCTAGTCTAAACTAACTCAGTTATTACCATGTTCCTAAAATAAAGACATACCTCTAGCTTGTGAAAAAGCCTAGCGCTCCGAGTGTTACAGCTAGGCTGGGTTGAGGTAGGCAGTGTACGTACAGTGTGGGAACACAGATGTGTATAGGGGCACATCCTGTGTTTACACACACACACACACTTGTGCATGCTTCCACAAACTAAGCCTACTACGAATTGTGAGAATGGTTTACCAAACAGTCCCATAAAAAGTATGCAACCTAAATGGCTCCAGCAAGCATCATATAATATTAGCAGGAAGAAAGATATTTTTATCCTCTTATTCTTAAATCTTTATCTCATTATTTTTAAATCTCTCAGTTCACGTAACCTTTATTGCTAATAATTTCCCGATAGATTTCAGTGTATTGTCTTGTGACAGTAGTCTCAGACCTTCAGGCTGTGAACTCAGTTGTTGCAAGCTCCAAACTCAGCACTGTCACATCCAATACAAATTTTAAGTACACTCTATTAAAAGACTATTTACACACTAACCAGCACTGGTAAAAGCCTTAACTTGCATGTGTCCCTCCTGTGATCCACTTTAAGGTTACTTCATTAAGTAGGACAGCATACCACACAAGCTACAAAGTGCTTACCTTAGTTTTTTTTTTTAGGTAGCATGAATGAGTGTTTCAATGTAATCGTAGTCATGCTTTTGTTTCTTGTTGCCCCTGCAGTGAAATTAGAGCGGTTTGAAATCCCCATCAAAGTACGGTTAAGCCCTGAACCATGGACCCCGGAGACTGGGTTAGTAACAGATGCTTTCAAGTTGAAAAGGAAAGAACTGAAAAACCATTACCTCAACGACATCGAAAGAATGTATGGCGGCAAATAAATTTGAGTTGTCTTGACTAGACAGTTGTGCAGAAGGTCTCATGCCTCAATTTTAGGTGTCCTTGTATACTTAGATATCACATGTTAAAGATAATACACAAAATGGATGAATGTTTCTATAATCTCTAATGACAACAACAGAGGAGAAAAAAAAATCTTAGATTCCAAATTCCTAGTTACTAGCAGAAACCACTGATGCTCTTTACCATTTCGTGTGATCATCTCCAGTTTTGAGATGGGCATAATTATGTGAAGCAGTGTGACCAGGTGAATGCTATTATTATTGTTCCTCTAGCATATTCAGACTGCTTTCATTCTTCTAATTCCTACTAAAGTCAATCCAATGGTGATTATTATGTCATATTAAAACTTAAGAAGGGAGAAAAATATCTAAAGCTTACCACTCTCCCTTTGAAAAAAAATTAAAAAAAAAAAAAACCCACACAACCATTAGTCAAGAGCTTGCTAGAGGTCACTAATAATGCATTGCTTGAAAACAGATGGATTCTTCTGCACATCAATCAATATCTTGACTATTTACAGTGCCTAAAAGAGAATACAAAGTACACTTACTGAAATAAAGGTGAACTGAAAAGCTTTCTAAAAATAAGTTATTTGACAATTCATTCAAGACTGCTGAATCCTGTTTCATCTTCCAATTCACGAAATACATTTTTACTTGCCATCATATTTTAATTCAAGCAGAACTTTCCACTAGGGCATGCAGCATAAAAGACAACTAAGACTTGCAGTGCTGCAAGCAGTAATGATGTTAGAGAAATCATCAGCTGAATGCCCAACTTGCATCTTGGCTGGCAAACAGCAGTGAAACTGATGGACGGTTGTCTTTAAGCAGATTTGTAACTCAAAGGAGAACTTGGGGTTTGCTTTGGGGGCAGGGGAAGTGTTTGGTTTTGTTTTTAAGACACTGAACCTCCGGAACGCTACACATATATGAGAAATATTACAAGTAACCTATATGTAAGTTACAGGATCAGGGTCTAAGATGACTGTATTCACAATACAGAAAAGTATTTCTGTTCACCTTTTAAATATTGTAACCAAGACAACCAGAAACCAATAGTAGTTTCTCCATTGTCTTGTTTTATTTATGGAAAAAGTAGTGTCTGGCTGGAGATCTTTGTTTTAAGGAACTTGTAAAAAAGGGACAAATCACTCTACATAGAAATTCATTATTAAAAAAAAAAAAAAGTTCTTTTAATAACTGGAAATTGTAGGTATGCTGAAGTGAGAGGGTAGGGAATAATTTAATAATAGTTTATCATTTTGTGTGCAGTATTCTGTACTGTGTCTCTTGAATTGTTAGTACCCGAGCTCCTGCATCCCTGCTAGCTCTTTGCACTTAAACCATTAAATGCTGTAAAAAGTGGAAGTTCTTGATACTGTTCTACTTTGCACTTTTCTTAATCATTTTATATATGTTGCTTACATTTTGTACAGGTGTGGCCTCAACTGTTCTATATTATAAATTCCTTTTCAAGTATTTATAGATTTCTTCTATTCATATGTGTTGTGTATATGAGGATTAAAAAGGAAAAGTTGGTATTGTCACTGTACAGAAAGAAAAAGGTTTTGTAAGACTTCTCTTGAACCTACTAGCTTGCAATTTCAGGGCAAGTTTTTCCTTTATTGGGTGTATGTGTATTTTCCTTTTCCCCAGCTCAAACAGCTTTCAGCAAAAATAAATCATGGCTATAGACTGGTTAACCAGCTGCCCCTTCTCCTTGGGATGACCTTCTTTAACTTTCCCATGCATAGCTTCTCTCTCCAGTCCAGAACGAACATTGCCAGCTGATCTTGCAAGGACCCTGAGGGGAAGGGGAAAGAGCAAGTCTAGTGCTTAACACTGACTGCTGCGAGTTGGGCATGGAATTACAAAAGTCACTAAAAGGAACCAGGAAAAAGGTTTTCTAAAAAAAAAAATATATATATATATATCCCCTGTAAAAAGTAACTTTTCAGATTACTTAGTCCTGGAGAAGGTTACCAAGCTTTCCATGTTTAAAATTGGTCACAGTTAAATAGACTTTAGACAGTCTGTTAGCATCATAAAAATTAAATGTAAGAAAGTTATTTGCATTTCAGTCTTTGCAAGTTTATGATTTTTTTTAAAGCCATGAATGTATTTATATGAAATGTATTTTACCTAGACTCCAGTTACCTTCTGTGTCTTGGCTGACTTGAGAATTGATATTTTAAAAAATATATATATATATGCACACACATACAAAGTTAACATTTCAAAAATGGAATACAGTTGAATTGGTTCAACAAGTTTGTGTTCTGAAAAAATCTTTATATTGCACAAGTTGTCTTCAGTTACTGTTCAACACCTCACATTCTCTCCCAAACGGAGCATATCTTAACAAAAACAGTTTCTCAAAAGACGGAGCAGTTAGCACATGCTACAAAGGGTGAAAACTAGGCTGATTCTAGACTTGTTTATCTTTCAGTAAACTAAATGTGGTAGTGCTGCAGAAGACAATTAATACCCATCAGCTTTTTAAGCATTTTTAGGAGAAGGGGAAAAAAAGAGGATGGGATTATATCTAGCATTATACTTGGAAATAATTCATTACACTTCAGTAAGAACTTTATCCTTGTTTTTAATTAATTCTTTTGTGACAGAACTTGTAGAGAAGTAAGAAACAGATGATGTGTGGAAAAAAAGTGGCATTTACATATGAAATTATCACATCACATGAAGTGACAGTATATGGATACAAAACCCATTATCTGATGGCCAAGATGATATCTGTGCTTGACTGAAAGGACATACAACACAGGAGGGAAGCCTGAGGGAACAGCATATTTACTAGATCTGAAGGTGCCAAAGCTCACAGTAGCGCAGGTTCTTCTGAAAGCAAGTTCAGTGTTCAAAACTGTATTTACAAGTTCGAGAAATGGTCCAACAAGAAACAAAATGAAGCTTCGATGTGTCTGAAACAAGATTATATTTAGGCATACTTGGATATAAATACAAAATTCACTAGGCAACAGTTTTTGAGGGAGAAAAGGGGGGATTACAGTGTATTATAAAACTCAACATGAATCAGCAATGTCACACTGTGCAAAAAAAAAAAAAAAGTTTACAGTCAAGAGTATGTTTGATAAGAGTCAGAGTAAGCCTACTCACAACTAGTAGCTCCTCAGCTGTAAAGCCAGATCCAGATTTAGGCCCTCTACTTCAAGAAATACATAGGCTATCTAGAGAAAGCCAGAGCACAGCAACAGCAGTGGGGCTCGAAAGTATGATCTATGAATAACGTTAAAATGGTTGTGTAGGTAGCTTGGGAGAGAAAAGGAGCATGGCAAGATGTGATTAACCTTCTATGACCTATAATGCTACCCTAACACAAAGGTATAAAAAAAAAAAGCTGGTTCCAGTGGAGAAAGAGGAAGAAGAAAGCCCAAATTACACTAAGGGGCATTTATGATTAGATACTTTAAAAGAAACAAAACTTTCATACAATGCCTTATTAAACAGTAACTGTTGCTGAGGATCTCTGCTATTGAAAGTCTTCAGAGCCAGCTAAACACCTTTCAAGAACAGCTGGAGACCTTGGGTGGGGTGGGGTGGGGTGGGGTGTGTGTATATATTTAAAACATGTAACAGCAGAATGTTACTGAGTGGCTTTCCAGGAAAAACTTTAAGGTCTACACAGAGAAAGTAATGAATTATTCCCATAAGAGCAGGACAAGTGGTGTTTTAAAAAAGCCAGTGCAATGTTAACGTCCATTACAACATGTGAGCATAAAGTACTAGCGTGGAGAGCTGCCTCCCAGGTAGGCCAATATACTGGGCTGCAGTTCACACCAGTCACTTCCTGGCTATATAGCTAGGACATAAAGTTGGAGCTGAGAACGTGAGCTGCCAATTTTCAGTCAAAAAAGTCATCCAAGAACGACAGTTTCAAATAGACTAGATTGTATTCTAACGATAAATTAGTGACGTTCTGCAATTACATGCATTGCAACAGACAAAAAATTCCAGTTATGTATGTGTTGTGTTTTACTGGGCCTGCTTAGTGGCTAGGCACTGTGCAGGAGTTATCAAGTTTCCTTTTGGAGACTGAAGTTTAAACGTGAGAAGCTTAAAAATAGAGCAGAAGTAACCTTGAAAAGTAGAAAATGCTTCTTCTTTCCAGACACCTTTGCCACACTTACTTCTGCATAAGAGGGTGCCACAAAGATGCTTTACAAAGTACAGCCAGGAAAACTCGCAGACAGACAGTCACCTGCTCACAGGGATTGCCGGAAGATGCACAGAAAGGAAAACTCAGCTAATCCACAGTAGTGTGAATTCATCTGGATTAGTAAACAAAATACTTTTCCAGTTGACCCAGTGCTGCTGCAAAGTGGATTAACGATTAGATCTCGTTAACATCACAGGATTAAACCAGCCACAGGGGAATAGGACTGACTACATTTAATAAGTGTTTGTTGTTGCAGGGTCATTTTCATTTAATTTGATTTGAATAAGCTCTGACAGGGGCAATTCATTTCTCTGCACTAGTGTTTTGCTACTGGGAGCTCTAAAAGCTAGAAGCTTGTTGCACCTGCGCTGGGGAAAAAACAGTCTGGAGACAGTCAGTCCTGTTCCAGGCCGGAGGCTAACAAGTGGGCTCTGGTTATTCCTGACTCCATGGTCTGCAGAAGCACATACCTGATTAACAAAGGTAATTGGTCCTACGCTGTCTTTAATTGAAAATGTGTGGTCTGATCTCAGTCCAGTACTAATTACATTGGACAGAAACAGCTCTGTGCATGCTCTTTAGGGAGGAAGCGTAACAGATGCTGGGGGTTGGGGAAATTATTTAACACCTCTTTCTGCTCTGAACCACTGTTACGTCTCCCTCTCACAGGCTTCTGTCAAACATCTAAAAATAAAACCAGCCCAAGCGCAACTTAGGGTAGCAATTCCCCTAACGTTGCAGCACTTCCCAACAAAAATCCCAGCCCTGGAAGGGGCTGCTAGGGGGTTTATTTGTTTTAAACAACATATCTAATGCAAATCTTTCTTTTGAGCATAAATCGCCTTATCACTTGTGCTGCTCCCCCAGGGAGCGAACCCGAAGAACAGATTGCTGTCCCCGATAGCTGCCTGCCCTCCAGGACGCAGCCTCTCCGGATACGTCAGGTTTTATGGGCTCTTTCAACCAGGGTCATTCCCTGCTGTATGCCTGAAACGCGACCGCCCGCCTGTCCCCCCAGCCCAGGGGGGTGAGGAAGGGGCAGACCCACAACTGAGGGGACCCCGCATGGCAGAGGGTGCAGCCAGCCGCTCCATTCCCCCCCCCCACACACACACTACTTCTCCGTACCCCAACATGACACTGGCACTACCCCTTGGGGGTCCACACGTAGCTTTGTGTGGGGAGCTGAGCTGTTTGGTTTTTAAAAGTCCTTTTTTTTCTTTGTCATTTTTAAAATCTGGATCTTTGCTCCAAACACCAGGAGGAAAAGCAACAGGGCTGTGAGGGGCAGGAATGCACAGGTGGTGACAGTGACTTCTTTAAGGAGCTCTGCAAACAAATGGCAAATCACAACTGAAGCTTCATTTCTAAAAAGTCACTCTGACTCAGTTTTAACCTACACACAGCCCACTCCGAGCTTTTGCTGGCAAGCACCAGTTCTTGCTGTGAGAAGAAAATTGTTCACACCACAAAAATAAATAAGTAAACCAAACACCTACAGAAAAGCAAACTAATGCTTGGTGCTGCTGGAAGAAAATAATTCTCACTACCTTTTGGAATATCAAGAGAACCAAAAGCTAGAAGCTTGCGAGATTATCTACTGTATTTTCTCTTTTCTACCCACCACTACACTTTTCATAAACCTCCCTTAGGTCATGAGTACGCAACATGCCTGTAACATATCTGAGCCAAAAAAACCTGCTTGGAAGAGAGATGATTTTGTAAAAGGGCTCATAAGAAAACAAACAAAATACACACATGCACAACAGAAAATATCTTACCACCTAGGTAGCAATCTCATCCCCTACTGTTTGAGAGTTTTACTAGTGTTTAAAAAGTAAAATAAAATCACAACTATCCTTACATCACAGTGTTTCTCAGTTACATTTTGCTCAAGAATAACCAAAAAGAAGTAATGAATTGAGATTCAAAACTCTTACAAAAAAAAAAGAAGAGGGAAAATACCCTGGGGCACAAATATCTCCTTTCTACCAGGCTCTCTTCTGGAAAAACCTGAAAGCTAAAAGACAGGCTTTGAGAAAAACAGACCCCCATTCTTTCAAACTGTGACCCAGCAGACTGTAGTGTTGTCTGATGCTGTTTACACATGGGCCAAGACAAGGCCAAGTCAACGTCACACAAACAAGCGGGTCCCCGTTCTGGCCTACCATTGAAATGCATCCTTTTCACTGAACGCAACGCAGGGAAACCGGCACAGACCTCAAAGAGCAGGCCTCAGCCTGGGGGAAAGGGATATAGAAACCGCACACACACACACACACAAAAGATATATATACATATAAATGCTGAAGACACTGTGAATCTGTAACACACATGACTGCTGTATTCACCTAGAAGTGCCATAGCAACTGAATTTAGGAAGTTACCAAATAAACAAGTTAATAGTAGAGAAGATGTGAGGCTTTCAAAACATTCACAGGATTTCAAAATACCCACACCTACAGGCAGGGAACTGCAAGATGAAAACACTTAAGAAAACTTGCCTGTCCACTGCAGTTCTAGACCTCCCTCCAGCACCAGATATACCAGAAGCAGCCTGCTGGTATTGGGTCCTCTCCTCTCCACTCCTTTTTGCCTAAGCAAGAGACCCTCTGCAGCTAATTATCAATTACTTCAATTGCTTCAATTATTCTGCTTCTGGGTATGTGACCACAACAGCTGCTGCTGTTCAGGCTCCTTTGCCCACCACCTTTCCTTGCACCTC